GGGGACACTTAAATCACCAAAAAGTTAACAGAAGTTCAAAGGGTCTCAATTTGTATAATACTTCTCAAGAAACAATTAGCACTTGTCGTGTGCCCACCTGTGCCCGCGAGACACCTTTACCTCCCCACACGGATTCCACCCATCCTTCACCTGCCTCTTGTCATTTTCCTATCTGTCCCCACGCGATTAGCCAAACTCGTGCCTCCATGAAACACACGAGAGCCCGCCTGTCCCGCCATTTCTCCAATTATATTTTACAAATTTACACGTTGCTAATAAAATATTTTTTTCAGGGGTTGGTAAAATATTACAATCTCTTAGGAATAATTATGAACTACATTGCACTCTTATTTCAGTTTATTACACATTTTGGGGGGGGGGGATGCAACCTGAGGTAGACTTGAAGATATACAAATTTTAATAGACAGGGTAAAAATGCGGCATATGTCAATTAAATATCATTGGTTTGGACGTGGAAGGTTATTTATATTTGATTTTCATATATTTTATGTACCTCGTATTAACGCACCTAATCTCGTATTAGTACATTATCATGAATGTAATTAAACCTTTTCCGCTAAATGTAAAATATGTTGGTTGTTAAAATTGTTCTAATGGAGATTATGGCTTCATGGTCGTGGATAGCGACTTAGAATCTGCTAAAACTCTGAATATTTGTAACAAAGTGCCTAATGAAAAATAAATATTAACATGTTGCATACATTACAGAGTTAACAGCATCTTAAACTTGTTTTTAACTCTTTCTGAAATTCAAGTACTTCATAACACTGCTTTGAGTCGACATATAGCGATTCCAAAAAAATAGTCTTCCCTTCCAGATAAATGTTTGCAGATTAAACGTTCGTCAAAATCTCGGTTTCGAGGGCTCGCCGGGCTTATCTCCCTTTCCGCCCGTCCCCCACGGTGGCTCCCCCTCGATGCCGCGCACGGGCCGTCAACGGCGCCCTCTCCCGCCCCCTCTTCCGCGCTCCCCTCATCGCCGCACCCCCCCCCTTCGGGGGCGGCGGCGGGCCCGCTCGCCGGGAGGCCGCGAAACCTGAGACGCACGGACGCGTGCGTGTGCGTGAGAGCGCGTGTGCGTGCGACTCCGCGGTTGACTCCGCGATCCCGCGCGCCCTCGCACCGCCTCCCCCTTCCCCCACTCGCCCGTGACTCGCGCTCTCTGCCACCCTCCGCCGCAGGGCCCGTAGTGGCCCCCGCGCGCGGGTTGAAGGCCGCTTTATAATGCGAACGGGGACGATAGCGCGAAGGTGTGAACGCGAACGGGAGATGCGCGCACTTGACGAGAAACGCCGATGGGGAGAGGAATCGCGTTCTGCGGTAGAATAAAGAACTCTCGGGGAACTTGGCGAAACCAATCCAAATCCGTTTTGATGGTACGTTTGTTCATCATTGACATAGTTATGAGTAAAAGATGGGGAAGAGATTCTGGATCTCAAGAAAACATGCACAGATTGTACTCCGCTCCCATACGTCACAAACACTTTTTACTGTACTTTGATCAAATAAATCAAATAAAATCAACGCTATCCTAGCTGCGCTGATGTGGACGATATTTAGTTTCTCATCAGTTCATTTCTGGAGTTTTATTTACGTACGCTTTTGTTTCATCCCCATTTATTTTATTATTTTTGTTACTAATTATTTTCTCTTTTCCGCGGTTTTCTAGCCTATCTTCGTAGTTTCAGGAATTTTTAATAGCTTCTATTCTATTTCTGTTCCATACATTTGCATTTGTTGTCTTTATATGGCAAACCCAAACTCATCTCCAAACTCAATATCGCAATATGTTCTCAGCTTAGGTTCAGTATCGCGTGCTCGATCAGCTGGGAACCTCGGAAATTGGCTAATTTATTTTAATTAGTCGAGAGCTTTCGCGTTCCGGTACCAAGACAAGACAGCATCGTCCACCCTTTCTGCTCACTTCTCCGTCCTATTTCGCGTGACTGAGCTGTGGTGAACGCCTGCTTGGCATGCCAATCTTCCTACTTTCATTATGTTCCCGTTGGCGCTGCCGCTCTCGGGTTAATGAGAAGCGATATTTAAGTTGCGTTTCCAATATTTTATATTTAACATCAACATGTTAAATTGAATAATTCGTGCATCGCAATAATTTAGCACGTTTACTCTTGAACTAACTAATGAATAATTTCCATCAGGAACAGAAAACACGTTAAATCAATCAACATAATATAATAACAATACAATGTCCACTTGATTCAAATACTAAGTTCATTTAAATCTATCTTTCATTATCAACAAAAACCGTGCCCACATGTTAAACACTATGGGCGCAGTGATAATGGTATAACATTCAACATATTCATTTAGCATGTTGCAATACTCTACATGAATAAATTTAACATTTAACACGCTGATGTTAAATATTAAGTAATGGAAACGCGGCTAAAGACACGGCTTTAGAGCACGCGACGACAGGGGGGCGGAAGGAACACAGGACTCGAGGGGGCTCCCTGGCCCGCTGCCCGCGAAACGGTCTGGTTGCCGTTTGAGTACACACGCAAGGCCGATCGGCCTAATTCAGAAATCATGTGAGGGAACCCGATCCGGGCTATGATGCGGAGGGCAGGGCGCGACTTCCCACGGGAGTCCTCGGCCGGTCGC